ACCCGGGATTGAACTCAGGGACACTCAACCACTAAGCCACATCCCCAGCCCTATTTTGTATTTTATTTAGAGACAGGGTCTCACTGAATTGCTTAGCACCTCACTTTTGCTGAGGCTGGCTTTGAACTCTCAATTCTCCTGCCTCAGTCTCCTGAGCTGCTGGGATTATAGGCATGCACCACCACGCTCAGCTTTTTTTTTTTTTTTTAATTTTAATTTTCTGCAGTGCTGGGTATAAAACCCAGGGCCTTATTCATGCTAGGCAATAGCTCTACCACTAAGCTACATCCCCAGCCCTGTCTCAGATTGTTCTCCACAAAAAGGGAATGCCAATAATGTCAGCTAAGAGTGGCTACTGAGTCACACTGAAGAGTAAATAATGCACATTCCAGTGCCACAATGCTTGCTTGGTTCCTAGTGAATGCTCAATAAATGATAGCTATTATTATCATCCTTTTAATTGCCAATATCAAATAAGCATCTCAGAAGGCCAAACACACTCCTTCCACCTGAGTTACATTTTTTCCTATAAGGCTATGAGGGGATAAAAGTCCAGCCAGCTAGACTTGTAGGGCCAAGTGGAGGAGGATGTGAGGATCTAGATTAGACTGTGGTTGATGTAGCTGCACATTAGGACATGTGGAGGTTCTTTTATTTGTTTGTTTGCTTATTTATTTATCAGTGGTACTGGGGATTGAATTTAGAGACACTCTATCACTGAACCACATCCCCAGCCCTTTTTATTTTTATTTTTTTGAGACAGAATTTCACTAAGTTGTCCAGGTTGGCCTTGTGCTTGCAATCCTCCTGTTTCAGCTTCTTGAGTTGCTGAAATTATAGGGGCTCTTTTAAACATGAGGGTGTAGCTCAGTGGTAGAGCCATTAGTTGGCTTGTTTTTAGACTTCATATAAAAGGAATCATGCAATATGTATTTACTTGTATGTGTGACTGGTTTATTTTGCTTAATGTTTCTAAAATTCATCCCTTTGTGTGTGTGTGTGTGTGTGTGTGCATCTCAGATCTTTTTAACTGTTGAGTGGTTTTGATGAACATTTGGGTTTTTCGGTTATTGTGAATAAAACTTCTATGAATGTTCATGTGCAGGTTTTTATGTTTTCCTTGCATTTGGGTAATAGCCAGGAGTGGAATTGGTAAAATATCTAGAAGTGAAATTGCTGGGTCATAATGCCATAAGGTCATGTTTAACTCTTTATAAAAAACTGCCAAACAGTCCTTCAAAGAGATTGTACCATTTTATACTCCCACCAGCAGTCTAGGAGAATTCTAGTTGCTTTCCATTCTTACTAACATTTGGAGCTGTTGATGTTTTTAGTTTTAGCTCTCCTACTAGATGTTAAATGGTACCTCTTTTTTTTAATATTTATTTTTTAGTTATAGGTGGACACAATATCTTTATTTTATTTTTTATGTGGTGCTGAGGATCGAACCCAGTGCCTCATGCATGCTAGACGAGCATTCTACCTTTGAGCCACAACCCCAGCGCCCCCAACCCCCCCAGTCTGCTTTTTTTTTTTTATATTGGAGATGGAACCCTCACGCATGCAAACACTCTACCACTGAGCTATGTCCCCAGCCCCCTCATTATGGTTTTAATTTGCAATTTCCTGAGGACTATGTTGAGTACTTTTTCATGTGTTTAGTGCATCTCTTTTTGCTCATTTTTTAAAAAATGTATTTTTTCACAATATATAAATTATTCTATTGTTGATTTGTAAGAGGTCTTTAAATACCAAGATGCTCTTCCTTAGATATCTTTCTTTTTCTTTTCTTTTTTCTTTAAAGGACAGCTTAATTGAAGTACAATTCACATCACCATATCATAATTTATTCACTTAACGTGTATAATTCAATGATTTTTATTATTTTCACAGAATTGTGCAATTATCATCATTGTTAATTTTAGAACATTTTCATCATCCTAAAAGGAAATCCTATTCCCTTTTCCCCATTCCCTTAACCCCCAGCCTTGGTCAATCATTAATATATTTTCTATCTCTATGGATTTGCCTATTCTGAACATTTCATGTTAACTCAGCCATAGTATATGTGGTCTTTTGTGTGTAGCTTCTTTCATTTAGTGTAATAGTTTCACAGTTCATCCATGTTGTAGCATGTATCCATACTTAATTTCTTTTTATTGTTGAATAAAAATATTCCAATGTGTGGATATGTCATTTATTTATCCTTTCATCAACTAATGGATATTGGATTATTTCTACTTTTTGGCTATTATGAGCAAGTAGTACTACTATAAACATTTATGCACAGTTTTATGTGTGGGTCTATGTTATTTTTCTTAGGAGTGGAATTGATAGATTATATGGTAACTCTATGTTTAACCTTTTGAGAAACTTACAGATTATTTTCCAAAGTGGTTGTACCATTTTACATTCTCACCAACAATGTATAATGACCAGAGCCCAGATAGATCATCTAAAAATGAAGATCTGTTCATAAATGTGTCTGCCTCAAAAAATTGTTACAGGAATTATTTGTTTGTTTGTTTTTTAATTTACAAGAAAATTTTACCTACCTGAAGCTCATGAATATATCTTCCATTTTAATGGTTCTGAATTTTATATTTTGTTATATGATTCATCTTTAATTTTTGTATATAGGATAAGTAGAAATCATTTTGTCTGTACAGTATCCTGCTGTTTCAGCACAATTAATTAATTTGTTAAAAATTCTTTCCCACTGAATTCACTCAGAGTTTTGGTCAGTTGACCATATTATATGTGTGAGTTTATTTCTGAGCTTCTTTGTGTGTGTGTGTGTGTTTGGGGAGTGGATACTGGGGATTGAACCCAGGGGCACTTTATCACTGAGCCACATCTCTAGCCCTTTTTATTTTTTTGTTTTGAGACAAAGTCTAGCTAAATTGCCTAGGCTAGCCTTGAATTTGCAATCTGCCTTCCTGCCTTGGCCTCCAGAGTCACTGGGATTACTGGTCTGAGACCTCAAGTCCACCCACACTTGTGATTACTGCGGCTTTAGAGTAAATATTAGGTAGTATAAATATTCCTTGCTTTTCTTTTCTAAAGTTGTTTTGGCCATTCTAGGTCCTTTGTATTTACATATAAATCTTAGAACCAGTCTGTTGATTTATTTAAAAATGCTGAAATTTTGCTTGTGATAGTGTTGACTCTAAACATGAATTTGAGAGCTACCTTGAGTTTCTGATCCCTGGTCATCTGTATCTTTCCATTTATTTTGGTCTTTGATTTCTTTTTAGCAGGAATTTCAGTACAGTTTCTGTATAGGGATCTTGCACATCTGTTACTTAATCCTGGATGTTATTTTTTAAACATGGAATTGTTTTTGTGGTTTCGATTTTCAGTGTCTCATTGACGAATGCAGAAATACAATTAATTTTTCTATATTGGTTTCGTATCATTCAGCTTCATTTATTAGGTCTAGATGTCTGTCTTGCTTTAGTAAATTGTAGTCCCAAAGCCAGCTATGTGGACTTTTAATTGAGGTGTAATTGGTCCAGTATTGAGGAGCAATATGAAGATTTATACTGAATAACGTTTAATTTATAAAACTGAGCCTTTGGAGGAAGGGGCAAGAATGGCTGTGGCATCTGGTATTTTTAGAGTTCTTCGGAAAGATTCTAAGAGCGCAGTTGAGAATCTTTGATTTACAAGGTGCCTGGTGGCAGACACACTGGCCCAAAGGTCACCCTCCCCTAGGGGACTAGCAACAGGGCTGAGGGAGTGTCTGGACCAAGGACCACCCTCGAGAAAAGGCAGATGAGTTCCGGGTTCCCTTCCAGGCCGGGAGGAGTGGGATAAGCACGCCTCACCGACAGGCGCCTCGCGCCTGTGGCTCTAACAGACGTCCATCAATATCCCCTTGACCGGGGTTCGCTGTGCCTCCCACTTCCTCCGCAGACACACCTATCTACACTCCCCCCCGCCCCGCCCCCGCGAGAGATCCCTGTTAACAGGGCGCTATCCACAAGCTTCACGCGGACGACCCTCACCCGTGGCAGATGTTACAGATGAGGAAACTGAGGCCCAGAGAGGCCGGGCCTTCGTGTAGGGCCGCCTCCAGTTCGACCCTTTTCCCGTAACCCTTTTCAGGTATAATGAAATTAAATCGGAGCTGGAGGAGCTGGACCACATCACTGAGCAGACGCTCTTTGACCTGTACAAATACAAGTTCAACACGCGCCTGGCCAGTCCCCGCGGCCGTCGCGATCTCGGGGGCACTCTGCCGCACCCACTGCAGCGCCTGCGGGTCCTGCCCCAGCCCCAGCCCCACAAGGCCCGCAGAGCACGCGGCGCGACCTCCAGCATGCGGGACAACAACCCCCAAGTGGACAGGAAAGACTGGAAGATCGGCTTCCAACTGGTAAGGCAGCTGGAGGGCACCGCCAGTCCACTCGCCCCACCCTGGCCCCGCCCACGCCGCAGACCCCGCCCCTTTCGGACCCGCCTCTACAGATGAACGAATCAGAATTAGCTCTTCTGATTGCGGGCAAATTAAATAAATGAAACAAAATAGAATGAAATGGAATGGAAAGAAAAGAGAAAAATAAAATGTAAAATAAAAATAAAATTACACCTTTCTGTGAGCCAGTTTGTGCAGTTTCCTCGCTGGGAGCCTATGTTCCAGCGTTTAAGCCACAGGAAGTCCAATCTATTGTGGAAAATGCACTTTTCAAAATCTCTGGTTCTCAATGGTGGTGCTCAATTGGGACCTTCCAAGTCTAATGGAAAACTGGGGCTTTACTAGCCTAAGACAGAGAACTAGAGACAGTAAAACGGGAGACTTAAAAGTATTTTTAAAATACAAAATTAGCTGTGGGTGTAGCTGAGTGGTAGAGCACTTGCCTAGCATGCATGAGACACTGGATTCAATCCCCAGCCCCCCAAATAAATAAATAAATAAATAAATAAAATCAGAGGCAAAATTAGAGGAAATGTCTTCTAGGCCCAGCTCTGTCTGAAAAACAAAACAAAATACATACCTTTTGTTTCCTCAGTCTTCCCCCCAGTGAAATGGGAGAAGTTCTTGCTCTTCCCCCTGCAGGGAGTATATAAATGAACTGTAATCATGTGTGACTCTTCCCTGCTCACCCATCCTTTAAATCCATTTTCCCCTGGCCCACTCTCCTGGGCTTCTGCTTTTCCCACCCTTTCTGCATTATTGCATTCTTATTCCTCATCCCTGTCCATCAGCCCTCAGAACTCCAGACAACTTATCCTTGACCCCGCCCTGGCCTGCTGCTGGCCTTTTGGGCCCACTAACATTCTGCTCTCTGTATCCAGTGCAACCAGAACAAATCTGACTGCTTCTACCAAACATACTCATCAGGGGTGGATGCGGTGAGGGAGTGGTACCGCTTCCATTACATCAACATTTTGTCCAGGCTGCCAGATACCTCACCATCTCTGCAGGAGGAGGCATTGGGCAACTTCATCTTCACCTGCCGCTTCAACCAGGCCTCCTGCAACCAGGCGTGAGTAGGTTCTGCTGGGGTGGGTGTTCTTCTCTGGGCCTCCCTTGGGTCATCCTGAGGCCCATGGGTCCAGAAAATGCTTGATAATTAAATATGGAAATGCTGACAGTGGGTAAAGGGGAAGAACTGGCCTCAGGACCATGCCTCTGCCTCACAGGTCACACGGAGGCCCTGCTAGATCTGAGTGCAGTGGCCTCATCTGAATTCCCTGGGAAGATTGGGGCTCAAGGTCTGGCTTTGAGAAATCAAGAACTAGAAGCATGGTTCTCCGTCTTTCTAAGGACTCTTTCTCACTAGCATTAAAGTTCACTCAGACCTGGGAGGTAGTAAGTGTAGTGAAATAGTGTGGATTGAAAGACTAAAACCCAGTTCCCACTCTGTTTCTGTGACTTCCTGGTTGGGTGACTGAGCATTTCACATCATTCTTCAGAGCCCTTTGTTTGTAAAATGGAAACAAAACAAAGTACACAAAATGAAATTCATTCATCCAACGTGTATTTTTTTGTTGTTGTTTGTTTTATTTGTTTGTTTTGCTTTGTTTTGTTTTGTTTTTAACTGTCTGGACTATGTGCCAGATACCGTTCTAGGCACTTGAGGCACATTAGAGAAAAAAAAAAAAGCCGTTGCCCTTTTGGCACTTGTACTCAAGTGAAGATGATGAGGATAACACAGAGTGCACAAGGTAACACTTGTCAAGACATTTATACACCACTGGATTGATGGATCTTAATATTCTTGTCCTTAAACTGGGTCAGAAGCCGGCATTAGCTGAAGATTCTTCCTACTCCGTTGCCCCTCAAGCATTCTTTATGTGGGGACCCCTGTCATGATGTCCTTGCAAAGAGGTCATGGCTGCTGTAGTCTCTTTGAGAACTGGGAAAGGCTGGGAGTGGAGGGGGTTCCATTCTGTTGCCTCTGGCCTCGTCCTACGCCGGCCTTCCCCTCCTGCTTCTGCTCCTTGAGCTTTGGGGGCCATCTCCATGTCTCTGCCTGGCTGAGGAAGGGTGCTGAGGCAGCATCTCCATTCTACAGGGGGCCCTTCCCTCCTATGCTGGAGAATGGCAGCAGGGCCAGGTGTCACCTGGTTCTGCCCCTACCATTCACCCCTCACATATACTTTGTTCAGCACACAACTTGGTTCCTGTCTCTAGTCTTAGTGTTTGTTTGAGGACAGAAGTGAGCAGCTGGGAAGTAGGGCAGCTAAGCCCGAGTCAACTGGCACCTGCCACCAAGCCTCTCTAACTGTCACTTTCCCACCTGTAGTTTTCATTTCCATCCTCTCCCTTTGCCTGCTCAATGCTTGTGCCTCCCATCAACAGAAAGTCCATAGTTCATCCTTGTTTTGGCATTTAAGTGACTTCCTCAGTTCAGTTCTTCCCAGTTCTTACCTGGATTATTATAACTACCCCCTAATTTGTTTTTTCTGCTTCTAAATCCTCCCTTTATTCTGTGACCAAAGGAAGTGTCTCAGTCTGTTTTCTGTTGCTGTAACAGAATACCACAGCCTGAACAACTATAAAGAAAAGAAATTTTATTCTTCTAGTCCTAGAGGCTGGGAAGTCTAAGAGCATGGTGCTGGCTCTTGGTGAAAGCCTCTATAATATTACATGGAGAAAAAAGGCAAGTGAGTTCATGTGAAAAGAAAGCAGGAAGGGCAGACTTGATTTTTAACAATGCACTCCCCACCTCCACAATGATGACCTTGATCCATTCATGAGAATTCTGTCTTCACGACCCAATTACCACTTATTAGGCCAAACTTCCTAACACATTGGGATTAAGTTTCCAACACATGAACTGGGAGAGTTTGAACCATAGCAGGAACTTTTGCATTTCACTATACTTAACTATTCCAGTTTGTCCTGTTTAAAATCCTTTGGTCTCTTGTGGTCTTCAGAATCATGAATCCTTTATTGTGGCCTTCTTTTTTTTAAAACATAGGTTAGTTGCACATTTTTTTCCCTAAAAAAAAAAAATATATATATATGTGTATAAATATATATATATATATATACATATATATATATACACACATACATATATATAATATATATATTTCATTTCTCTTGGTATACTATATATATATATATATATATATATATATATATATATTTTTTTTTTTTTTTTTGGTGCTGGGGATTGAACCCAGGGCCTTGTGCATGCAAGGCAAGCACTCTACCTACTGAGCTATATCCCCAGCCCCCTAAATATTTTTTTTGTAGTTGTAGATGGATACAATACCCTTCTTTATTCATCTTTATGTGTTGCTGAAGCTCGAACCCAAGGCCTCACACGTGCTAGGGAAGTGCTCTGCCACTGAGCTACAACCCCAGCCTTAGTGTGGCCTTCTTATCCCTCTCCTGTCCCATCTACAAAACCTTCCTTCACATATTATCTTTTCTTTTCTTTTTCTTTTTTTGCATGTGTGGTTCTAGAGATGGAATTCAGGGCGTCACACATGCTAGGTGAGTGATAAACTGCTGAGATACATCTGTAGCCTTAAATTTTTCTTTAATAGTATTTGAAGACATGGCATATGTGCCATAAATTCTTCCTAGTAACATGTCCAACTTAGTGGCTTTTAGTATGTTCAGAGTTGTGCAACTATCACTGTTATCTAATTTTAGAACATTGTCCTCACCCCAAAAAGAAACCCACTGCTTATCAGCAGTTCCCCACTCACTCCCCTCCTCCAAGCCCTGCAAACCACCGATCTGCTTTCTGTTTCTATGAATTGCCTGTTGTTGACATTTCACATAAAGGGAAGCATGCAATATGGAGTCTTCTGTGACCAGTTGGCTTCTTTCACTTAAGCGTAATGTTTTCAAGTTCATTTATGTTGTAGCATGTATCTGAACCTCATTTCTTTTTATGGGCAAATAATATTATATTTAGAAGGTAGCTTTATCCATTCTTCAGTTGAGAGACATTTGGGTATTCCCACTTTTTGGCTATCATTCATGAAACTGCTATGAACATTCTTGTACATGTCTTTGTATGGATGCATGTTTTCATTTCTCTTGGTATAAATCTAGGAGTGGAATTGATGTGTCATATCGTAACTCTAGATTTAATATTTTGAGGAACTGCCGGACTTTGTCAAATGGCTATACTATTTTACGTTCCTAACAGCACTGTAGGAATGCTCCAAATTCTCTATATCCTACATTTGTCTGTCTTTTCATTTTAGCCCTCTTAATGAATCCCTGTAATCTTCATAGTAAACCAATGCAGCTCTTACTAAGTGCTAAGCACTGTTCTAAGTGTAATTTATCACACCTGTAAGGTAGATATTTTTAACATCTTGATTTTACAGATAAGGAAACTAAGGTTCACAGAAGTTAAGTAATTTGTTTGGTATCATGTCTTTTCTTTTCTTCTTTTTTTTGTAGTATTGGGAATTGAACCCAGGCCCTCATCAATTCATCTCACTTTTAATACTTTTATTATTTAATTAAATTAATTAATTAATTTTTTTGGTACCAGGGATTGAACCCATAGGTGCTTAACCTCTGAGCCACTCCCCAGCCCTTTATTTTTTTATTTTAAGACAGGGTCTCACTAAGTTGCTTAGGGTCTTGCTAAATTGAAGAGGCTGGCCTTGAACTTGCAATCCTCCTGCCTTGGCCTCCTGAGTTACTGGGATCACAGGTGTGTGCCACCATGCTATCTAATACTTTCTAAAGCTTAGAGATTCAGTTCTGGACTCTGTGCTTTTAACCATCACATTATAAGGCTTCTCATAGGCCATTATATTAATATGCTTAATGTATATTCTTTGTGTTTTTGCAAAATTCATATTTAATTTATGTACACGGCATTATATATCTCATTGAATCCCCTGCCTTTAAAAACTAAGCTCTGGGGGTTTAAGATCCATCCACATTGCTGATTCCATCTGCTGATTTCATCTGCTGTGTGCTGTCCATGATGTATATCTGCAGCATCATGTCTGTCCCCTCTCCCAGCAGGCAGGGCCCAACGGCCTTTTAGGACTGGCCACTTCTGTAGCCTCTTCTTCATTCACTCTTTGCATCCAACCCATCTCTGGAAATACTGACTTCCTAGCACATCCTAAAATATGTTCTGGTATTTCACACCTCTGTGCCTTTGGCTTTTAAGGTCAATGGAATATTCCAGATCATCTTCTTATAATCTCTTCATTTTGTAGATAAGGAGAATAAGCTCAGAAAAAAATGACTTGTTCAGGGCCATACAGGCAGAACTCCACTCCTTACCTCTGACTAGACTTCTCCTTGCTTCTCTTCATTTCTCCTCTGCCTCTCACAGGTCAAAGCCTAATCTTCCTCTTCGCCTGCTCCCATCACCAGCTCTAAGATGAGATGGTAGTAGAATATAGATTTCCTCTGTCTTCAGGTGGGCTCTCGCTGCAATCCAACACAGCCTCCTGGCTTTGAAACCTGTTATTTGCTGTCAGATCATATTGTTACTACAACAGCATTGCCTCTGATTGCTTTCTCTGGATTCCCAAATCTATTGTAGATTAGTTTTGGATCTGTCAGTCTGAGACATGTTGGTACAGGAGGCCTTGGAAAAACACTTGGCCGCATTTTACCCCTGGGCTCTGAACTTCCTCTTCTTAGCACCATGTTCCTCATGTCTCACT